CTTCGGTCGAGCCGCCCTCTCTGGTTAGCAGACCTAGCTGGATTCGATAATTCCCGTGGGGCGCGTGTCCATGTATGGGTTGCACGGCGCAGTCTCAAAGGTAGTGTTTGCTCGAATAAGGCGTGCCCGCTGGGTCTGCTCCGAGGGGGGCGGGTTCCATCGGCCTTGCCTCTGAGGGTTCGTTAGATTGCTGTCCTTGGGTTTGGGGTATCTCGAGAGGGGGTTCACGCTTTGCGACCTCGTTTGCTCGTACCTCGCCATCGCCGCTGGTCCGTTGGGTAACCTACCGAGTTGCGCGGCGGGGATATCTGACGGTTCCCATACCGCTCTGCGGAAGTGACGGTCGATCCGCGTGCCGTAAAGACCTGTCACTGGTAATAGCTGTCTGGGCACGTATCCCATGCTGGCGTATGCGCCGACGATAGATATCGGGGTGATAGTGTCTTTCCAGCGAACCGTGTAGTACTGTTCGTGGGTTGCGGTCGTATCGGCCCCGATTTTCTGTTTCTTGGGAGGTTTAACGTTTGAGGGGACGATGCGTTTTGTGATAGGGCCCGCGAGTACTTCTACGATGTCCTCTACATCGTTGTTTAGGTCATAAACTATCTGTTGCTGCCCCGTTGTGTCCTTTGCCTGGCCTTTTCCAGGCTTCCAGGGTATCCTGTCCTCCAGTATTTGATCGCGGGCGACTTTCCATCGAGGTCTCCACCATTGCGGGGTGAGGTGCTCTGGTGGCTTCGGTGCCCCCGGTAGCGCTCTGGCCGGTTCGGGCGCAGGCGGATCACCGGCGTGGTCCCTGTCGGCGGTGTTCGGACCGGCCCTTGCCGCCCCCGCGCCTGCGCCGGCGCGGGGGTTACGTGGCGCTACTGGCGTACAGTCGAGTCCCTTTTCTGCAAGGTACACCAGCACTGGGTTTGGGGTACCGATTTCTCCTGTCACGGGGGTCATGCCGATGCTTAGAGTGCGACGGGTTTGCCGGCTTGGGCGCGGTCGCGGTCCCTGGACGATAGGCCCAGGGGGGTTCCCTAGGTTGGGCACACTCCTACGGGTGTCTTTTCGCAGAGCTGCCATGACGCGTCTCGTTTCCATATAGGATGTGCATTGCGGGGCCGGGTCGCGGAGTTGCACGCCGT